TCTGTTGACCTTGTTACTCACACATTGTATTTGGTTGAAATGGTTAACAAAGTCACTATCGAGTTTGAATTTTTTTCGAATCAATTCATGGTGTAGATGATAAAAAATTGCTTAACTTATGATGGATTGTGAAAAACATTATAAATCTAGTTATAAGCAGGTCATCCCTTATCTAATGAGACTTCTCAACAAGTATTGAACGAAATTGTTTTTATCACTCATGTGAAATAGAAGACAAAGAAAAAAGTGTTTATTAATACTGAAAAAATTCCAACCACTTTATCTTTATTATAACTGCTTTATTCTTATGTACTAAAATCATATCTATATTTGTTTCACGTTTATCAGCTGCCTTTGTAAAGTAGTTAGCTTTGTCAACACAAAACTTAAAAAGAAAACCACATGTTTAAATATTTCTACAATTAAATATCTATCCATCTTTAAAGTATTTGTCTCTGCTGTAGATGCTGCTGTCTCAAAACCAAGAGACCTGAAGTTTAATGCCGACTTTAGCCCGATGAGCGACATTGGTAAGCAATGAGGCGTAAACTTTTTATACATTTTTTAACATGTATATAATAGTTATTTAGTTTCTCTAAGAGGTCCTAAAAGTCTTATCACATGATACCACGAAAATGCATTAAACCAAGGGTGCATAAAGATGCATAAGTTGCATGAGGATCCAGTTCAGATGCCAGAATTTTAACCACTACAGCACCTCTCCTATAAACATTAAAAAAGTTACATTGGGATTCAAGAAAAGTCATAGTACTATTATACCCGTTTTTGTTTTAAAAGACCATTTTAAATTTTTACTTGTCAAATGGCTCAAAAATCCTTGTTTAACTCATTGACATTAGTAAGACCTTTAACAGAGTTCTTTTTGACACAAAACTCTCTAAAATCATAAAACTCATTTTTTTGTTTTTTTAAACAGCTCAGATCTTAGTTTATCATCCAAAACATTTATTTTTAGTAATGGATTCCATCAAGAAGGTGTCCTTCTCTCATTAACCATCTTTTTTATTATAATGTTATTGTTTTGTGTGCACCCTTGCACCCTCACCCTCAGCCAAAGTGCTAGAACTTATGCGCTAGTTATATTTTAAAGCTATAATTATATATAAGATAGAAGGCATAAATTTATATAAAGTATAATTTTTAGCTGTAACAAGTCAAAAATCATTTAAATGTTATGATGTTGTCGTTTATCAAATATTTTTGTTTAAGTTTTGTTTAAGGTTAGTTAAGTGAAGAAATTAGAAAATAAAATTTAAATTTTTTAACTCATTTTTCTTTAGCGTGCTACATAATTTAGGTCTTTTCCAAAATATGAGTTAAGTAAGATTGATGCAATTTTTATATTTATTTTGAACATAAAAATGTTAATCAACTTTGGCAGAAGTAAAAAATAAAGTATAAATAACTTAGGCAAAAGTAAATAAAAGAAAAGTAATTTTATACCGAACAGATTTGATTTAACAATTGTTCGGCGTTTTAGGCCAAACTTTTGAATACTCTTTTTTGAATTATTAATTTACTCAAGCCATTTATATAACGCCAAATGATATATATTTTATTATATATGTTTTACCACCGTTAAATGTATTGTTTCCTGTTTGGTATCATAATTTTCTTCTATATAATAATATTCTTATATATTTTCTTCTATATAATAATGGATCATAATATTCTTCTTTATAACAAGAAAATTATGGTATCATAATTTTCTTGTTATAAAGAAGAATATTATGATCTACCATTTCAAAAGTTAAGGTCAAAAAAGATACCTAAAATAAATTTTTCATCAAAGACTTTAAATACTTCTTGTGCGAACGATTGCCTGATCGGTTGAATGACTAGTTTATAAAATAAATAAATAAAGTCTGTTATACATGACACATTACTACTTTTTTTTTTACGGAACTTTGAAAAGACGCATAATAACGGAAATCGGTTTGTAATCAGAAACATTCAGAAAAAAAAAAACTGCTGTAACTTTTGCGTGTTTTAGGTTTTCAAGCAAAATTCCATATTTTAATGATAAATTAAATTTAAATGAAAGTTGTATTGCCATACATTTTATTGATTTAATAATGACATTACTACTTACATTATCGAAGCTTATGTCGAAGCTTTATATCGAAGATGGGGAGCATTAACATGCTCCCCATTTGAATCAATAAGTTGCGGAGTTCCACAAGGATCAATACTTGGACCTTTATTGTTTTTAGTTTATATCAATGATATTTTTTTGTCTTCAAAAATACTTAATTATACTATTTTTGCTGATGACACTAATGTTTTCTTTTCTGACTCAAATTTAAAAAATATTTTTTATTATGTAAACGCTGAACTAATATATCTTAATGAGTGGTTTATAGCAAATAAACTATCATTAAATATTGAAAAAACTAAATATATTTTGTTTGCTAAACCATCTCAATCCGAGAACCTTCCACTTAAACTTCCAGAACTAACAATTAACAATATTAAAATAAAAAGAGTTTTTTCAATGAAAATACTAGGAATAAATTTCGATGAACATTTAAATTGGAAAAGCCAAATAAAGTTAGTCGAGAACAAAGTTTCAAAGACTGTGGGGATTATGTACAGGACAAAACATCTTTTGAATAAAATATGTTTAAAAAACTTATACTTTTCATTTATACATAGTCATATTAACTATTGTAATATTGCCTGGGCAAACAATCATTCATCTTTCCTAAAAAATATTTATACTAAACAAAAGCAAGCAAGTCGATTAGTTTTGGGCGCAGATAGGTACGAAAGTGCCAAGCCGTTACTCAAGGAAATTAATGCGCTAAACGTATACGAACTAAATATATACCATAACTTGTTATTTATGTTTAAACTTCAAAATGAACTAATTCCAAAATATTTTTATAAAGGTTTTTCTCTAATTAACCATAAATATGAAACAAGACACTCAATAAATAATTACTACATCCCACGAACATCACTCAAAAAATCTGACTTCTCAATTACATGTCGGGGGCCACGCTTGTGGAAGTCAGTTCTTGACGAAAATATGAAAAAAATAAAATCTATTGATATATTCAAAAGAACTATAAAAAAACACTTACTAAACTCAAACATTACATACATTCTTTCATTTTTTTAAAAATAATATTTTTTTGATAAATTTGATAAAAAGCTTTTTTTTTTTTTTTTTTTTTTTTTTTTTTTTTTTTTTTTTTTTTTTTTTCATATATATATACATATATATCTTTCTTGTTTGATTTTCTCTTTGACTGTTTTTTTTTTTAACTTTTTTTAATAAATACTAACAAATGAATTTAAATCTACATAACGTTTGGAATCTTTTTAATATATAAATATTTTTGAATATATACTTCGCTTTGTATTGAATATGTATACGTATATGTACTGATTTGTAAAAAAAAAATTCAAACTTTTTAATTTACGCATTGTATACATTTTTATTTTTTTATTTCGAGATTTTATTATTATTATTATTATTATTTTTTTTTTCTTTCTAATTTTTACTTTTTTTAATTTTTAATTTATTTTAAACTTTTTAATTTTTTTCAATCTTTTTACTTTATTTCAAACTCTTTAAATTTTTTTATTTTTATTTTAATTTTGTTTGAATGTTTGTTTATTTTTTTCAAAATTTTTAATTTAACTCTTTTTTATATTATTGGAATTTTAGAAATTTTATATTTCTCTATTTCACAAAAGGGCTTGATGATAAGACTTTATGTCTTCTACTTGCCCCTGTCAGCTTGTAATTATATATATATTTATTCGAATTTAAAGATAACATTGTAAAATGTGTAAAACGACAAAATAAACTAACTATAAGAAGCCTGACGTTTTGTTTGTTTTAACTGAATTTAATAGTTTTTTCTCAGTAAGATCATGATTAGGCATTATTAGAGATAATAGTTCTCAGTAAGATCATGATTAGGCATTATTAGAGATAATAGTTCTCAGTAAGATCATGATTAGGCATAACAGCATTATTAGAGATAATAGTTGAAAGATTAAAAGATGGTCTTTTTTTTAGAGGTTAAACTTGTACTCTAACAAAAAAATTATTATTAAAATGCCACTACAGATATATTAACACTTTAATAATTGTTATTTATAAAAGTTCTTGAAAGAACTTCGATTGTTTGTAGCCAGATTTTTATTGTCAATTACTTTTCTATTAATGCATCGAATTTGTAAACATAATTTCTGTTTTAATTCGGAAAAAATAATGATTCTTTTTATTATACAAGGGTTTCAAAGTGTTTTTAAGTTTATCAGTTTTGAAACATAAAGAAATACTTAATTTTAATGCTTAAAAAACTTGGGTAAAAAGGTATTGTGGGCATTATCAGTGTTTTGACTTATTAGAGTTCCATTGCTCAGACTGTACAATGTCGTGATAATAAATAATTTAAGTATCTTTTATTAATTGTATTGTCACTTTCCTTTTGTGAAAAGTATGATCGGGCTTATTGGATTTATTTGATATAGTAAGAAACAGTAAATTAGATTATGTATATTAAAATGGTTGCACACAAAATGCTAATTATTATTTTTCTGACTTCAATCTATTTATAATTATGAAGGAGCTCAAATAGTTAATCTGATCAGATATCAGTAAAAAGTTTATTTGTAAAAAGATGGTATTGAGCAAGACATTTTTAGAAAATTTCCATTTGAGGGAGTAATTAGGAAAGTTGTTAAGTTTCTGCTATAAAATTTTTTTATATATATTATTCAAAATTCTGCTCAATACTATTTACTATATAAAATGCACATTGACAAAAAATTTCACCAAAATCTTTTTAAAATTTTTGCATACCATCAAAATGAATCTGAGATAAAAACGAAAAAATCATTTAGAACTTTTTTTAAATAAAATAAAAAATAATTCAAAAAAATAAATTTTCAACAAAATGATATCATAAAGTATTAAAAATAAAAAATTGATTTTAATGCAGTCAAAGAATAAAAAATAATTTTAAACGTCCTTGATTTTTATTGGCTCATTATCTGAAATAAATTTCACAAAAACACCTTTTCAATAACAAAATCAGTTTCTTGTTCTTCGGATTGTCCAAATGCTTCTGCTTGATAAGTTTTCTTTTGTTGGCTTAGTTTTAGCTTGTACGTGTTTATACATTTTTTTAAAACTGCTATTTTTTGCTACCAGAGTTAGTTTTTGTGATGCATTTAAATAATCCTGTAATTTAAACAAATAGCAAAAAATATTTAATGGCGCAACAACTTACTGCAAAATAAATAATAAAAGATGAAATATTACAAGGCAACGGATGTTGACACCAACTTGCTTCTTGTTCTTTTAATAAAAATAATAAATTAGGTTTAAATTTTTTTTTCTATAAAAGATTATACTAGATAAAACTAAAACGTTTAATTGTGAAAACACCCGTTTAAAATAATCTTCTTTTTTATTCAAAACAAAAGTTGTTTGTTATCTTGGTTTTAAAAATTTAAACAAATATTTAAAAATTCAAATTTAATTATATTCAAAAAAAGATTATGATCTGGAAACTTTCATGGGAATCCTTTAAAAACATTTTTTACTATATTATGCTACAGATTATAAGAATTATTGGTTGTATGTCACATTAAATATATAGATAAATATCTTAAATAAACAATATCTTTTAACTGGTTTTTCTAAATTATTAGGTATAACTTATTACAAGGGTGTGAGGCCAAAAAATGAAGCCTCAAATTTCAATAAAATATAGAAATACAAGAAAAATGAAACCCAGAAAGGAAAGAAAAGCAGCTCATTCTACAAATAAAGTAGCTAACCCAAAGCTCATTTCATCGAACTAGTAAATGAAATGCAAATGCTAAAATCTCCTTTAAGTAAAAATTATTAAAACTTAAAAAGTCAAAGTTTTAAAATGCAAAATCTTGTCCTAAAGGGTAGCTCAAAGGTCCCTATGACAATTAAAATAATATTTATCGTTTTACAAGTATAATTTAAATTAAAAATTTTAACAATGTTAAAGACTTGAAATAGTTGAAATATTTATTAGTTAGCCACATTTTTAAAGTATTTTATTTTATATCAATAATTATATACAGAATTTTCTGATAATTTTATAAGTACATATATATTTATATTTTATACCTAAAGTCACAAACACATATGTATGTGTCTGCCTGCCTGCCTGCCTGCCTTCCTGTCTGTCTGCCTGTCTGTCTGTGTATTTATAGTTTTTTGCATTGTTAGCGAATGAGACTTTAATGATATAAAAAATAGTCGCTTTCAATACTTATTTTAACATTTAGGCGTTCTTTAATAATCGCTTAAATGTTAAAACAATTAAATGTTTAAAACATCGCCACTTGTTAATTTTTTAACATATAAGTGACCTTTGACAATTAGTCAAAGGTCGCCTAAATTTTTAATATTAATTATAACTTAAATTATAAAACAATTAAACGTAGTTGCAAAATTTGTGTTTATGTGTGTGTGTAAGTGTGTGTGTGTGTGTGTATGTTTGATTATTAGATTTCCGAGCAGTTTTTAAGGTCTTATCTCCCATTTACCTTTTAAGATCTTATCTCCCATTTACCTATTTAAGAAGTTCACGCTTTGAAGAATTCTAGAAGAGGTCTTGTCGTCAAAAACAGCTAATAAGTTTACGCATTAGTTACGCAAATTACATTTATAAGAATATTCACAATTACTAAATAAAGTTAGAATAAGAAATAACAAAAAAAATAACTAAATAACTAAATAACAAAATAACTAAATAAATTTAGAATAAGAAATAACAAAAAAAAAAAATAACTAAATAACTAAATAACAAAATAACTAAATAAATTTAGAATAAGAAATAACAAAAAAAAAGTTTTCAAACTATTATTTTTGTATCAATGAAATAATTTAGAATTAAAACAAACAAACTTTGAAATGAAAATATAAAAAAAAATGATTCTGTTAAAAATATAAAGATTTAAACAATTTTAAGATACCAAAAGTAAATAACAAATAACATTGTTTCATTTCATAGCGTTTAATATAAAGTTAAATAAAAAGATTTGAAAGATTTAAAGAATATTTATGGGAATATATTGTTTTTACGTTTAAACATAAAGCAAATAATATTAAAAATATTAAGCTCATATATATATTAATAACCTTCATTTCAATTAATAGAGTCTTGGCATGAATAAATAGATCTTTGAAATAAAAATGGCGTGCAACATAATAATGTTGAGGATAAAGAGGATCAAATTTATTTTTATTAGTACTCAACACAATGCTTGCATTGTGTTGATTAGTTTTTGATTAATATAAAAGCCAAGGAAGTTGCTAACCTACTTTTTTTAAATTTATTTTATCAATAAAAAAAAAGGTGGCATGTCATGGTATAAAACATTCTCTTAATTAAAATTGTAAGAAAAAATCCATTTTGTTTTGTTAATATTACGAGACTTAAAAAGAATTAAAAACTCTTACTAGTTCATATTCTAAAATAGCAATGCAATGTTATTACAAAATAGATAAAATAAGTTCGTGTCATTTGAAAACATAATTGGCACTAAATTTGAGGCTTTATGAAGATTGATGACGTAAATAAGAAAAAGAAAAGGATTTTATATTGATCCCATTTTAGGCCTTCCAAAATTTTTTTCAGGAGTAGCAACTTTAGTTAATTTAAAAGAAATGTGACCATCTAACCAAGTAGCATATTTAATTTCAAATCGCTCTCATTTTACAGTTGTCATTTTACATTTCTATTGGTAAATGAATGTTGATAATGTAGTTTTATAATCAAAAACTTGTTAGGTGAATCATTTTCTTCATATTCAATCAGTTTACAAAGTAAATCCTTATTTTTATTCTTTTATTATTTTTTTTTTGCATATTTTTTTTTATTGCATTTTTGTCAAAACTTGAATGCAATATTTAGAAAAAATAATTAATATTATTTAACATTAACTTGGAAAACTTAATTAACTTATATTTGACGGAAAAGTTAGCTACAATCCGCTCAATTAAACAAATTAGCAATCTGTTTCAAAAGAATAAATGTTCTGGTATCCTGTTATATGGAGATTTTAATTATCTGTCAATAAGTTGATATGAAATTTACAATTTACTTCAATGTGATCAGCATATTCAAGAAAAAAAGTTTATAGAATATCTACGGGATTGCTCTTTGTTCCAAAATGTTATTTATCCAACATTCCAAGTAAAAATTAGTTTGACTAGTAATGTTTTAGAATTGATAATAACCAAGTGTGAAAACAGAGTATTGTTAGTTATTATTCTTCCTTCCTTGGAGGTGATTGAACACAATTTAATCAAAATTAACTATTCGTATTCTCAAAATAGGAATAGTTATAAGAAACTAAATGATTAATTTAACGAATTTAATTAGTCTGACAAAAATCTGAATTTAAACGCAAATGATTCTTACAACATTTGGATATCAATTTATAATTATAGATGCAATATGTTTATTCCTATGTTGAAAATGAGTGGCAAAAAGAGAATAAAAGATTCTCTTTGGATAAACATTGAACTAAAGCTCATGTGTAAAAGAAAGCGCAACTTAGGTTTGGTGCCCAATACAAAGTTTAGTAATTATGTGTTGGTCACACCATACAAACATTTCAATTTGGAAATTTTAAAAAAGCTGAAAAAAAGTATCCGGAACTTTGAAAAAAGTTAGCACTGAATTTTTACTGAATCCTAAATCAGTATATACATGGCCTAGTATAATTACACAGTCGTACAAGGGTAACTTTTCAAAACATAAAAATATCGTATAACATAAGTGGCCACACTTACCTCAATAAAAACTAAGAGTTTTTGTGTACGAAAGTGCATATGGCGTAAAAAATTTGTTTGACAAAAATGATAAAAGTCTGATAAATTAGACACTTTCCTTTGCCTGATGATTTTATTTCTATAAAAAAAACTTACACCGCTGAAAATAGAGAACTTTATATTGTACAATATTCATCAATAAAAATTAAAATAACTTTGTTAAACAAAAAAATAATAGAATTTGTAATGACTTTATTGACTTGAAGATATACCTTATATTGTATATATATATATATATATATATATATATATATATATATATATATATATATATATATATATATATATATATATATATATATATATATATATATATATATATATAGTTAGTTAGTTAGTTGGTTATAATAAGTTGCAATGCGAGCTTATTGTCTGACACGAAGTTACCCATCAGAGGATAAGCCACTGTAGCAACTTTGCTAGAGGTTGTCCAACCAATTTTTAAATGCGTTAACTGTTTCTGCGCTCATTGTATCGTCGGATAGCGAGTTCCAACAGTTCACGATTCTGTTAGTAAAGAAATCGCTTCGCCATGCGCTGTTACGGACTAATTCTTTGCTCAGATATCCTTTACGACCTGCTCTTGGCTCTCTTGTGATTGTTGGTACACACCATTTCAGTTTGTTGATTCCTTTTAATATTTTAAATTGTTGAATAAGGTCGCCTCTTTGTCGACGCAAAGTTAGACTAGTTAGGTTGAGATTGATAAGCCTTTCTTCATAGCTACGTTACCTCATTGCGTGTCTTGGTGGCTTGCCACTGAACTTTTTCAAGTGTTTTTTGGTCTCTTTTCGTCGATAGTGGCTAAGTGCATACTGTATATTTTAAATTAGGTTTGACATGTTGTATAGTGTTTTTTCCATAAATGGATCTCGCAATATAAATGTATTTTTTAACAGTCAAAGAAATTTATTTGCGATAGATTACTCCAAGGTCTATATTTATCATCGTTGTTGTTAGATCTCTTTTTTCGCTTGATAGTGGATCTAGCATAGTGTATGTCGCTGATTTTTTTGCTCGTCCAATGTGCATCACTTTCTATTTACTAAGTTTTAGTTGTATTTGCCAAGTGCAGCACCAATAACTTATCTTGTTGATGTCATCTTGCCGGCTTTTAGTATCAAGCTCTTCGTTTCCTGGCCGAATTTGTGCTATTAATTTACTGTTGTCCGCAAACATTTTGCAGCAAGTTAACGTTGTCTGAAAGGTTGTTAATGAAGATGGACAATACCGCTAAACACTGGTGCCTATCCTGATATTGTGTCGCCTAGAACAAATTACTGTTGTCGATTTGTTAAAAATGAGCGAATCCATGTAAACAGATGACTTGTTATTCCATATTCGCCCAGTTTTTTAATAAGGCTAGTACGCTGTACTAAATCAAATGCATGTGAAAAGTCGAGAAATACTATAGGTAGGTATACAACAGATGGTTGGTCTTTGCTAACATAAATTTGACTCCTCCGTGATAACCCTCTCTATCTTTACGAA